TTTTTTATTCTAACTTTTTTGTTTTTTGAGATAAGTGCGTCATCTTTGGACTCATTTTAAAGCTTTTTTAATGAAGATGACAAATATGTCAAAATTGACGTTGACGTTTCAAACCGGAAGTGATTATATTTTCATTAATATTAAAGTTAAATATGTCGAGTTTGGACTCTTTTAAAGGATTTTTTATAAAATTGACAAATATGTCAAAATTAATAGTTGAAAGTTCGAACTTTTTGGTTTTTTGAGATAAATACGTCAAGTTTGGACTCAACTTAAAGGCTATTTTATGAAGATTACGAATATAATAATAAAATTAAAGTTGACATTGACAACTGAAAGTTTTTTTCACGACTAAACCCGAATGTTTCTAGTTCTCGTTCTAGTTTTAGTGCAATAAAAATATGCAACATAGTGATATCTTATGCTAACTAGCGCTACCTACCGCTGTCGTTCGTAAAATGTATAAGATGAGAGATGTTAATCTATTTGTACAGTCTCTGAAGATGGCTAAGGGCCGAAAGTAGTTGGACTTAACTTCTATATAAAATAAAAGACAAACTTTTAATTTTACGGGGTGATTTTTTGAAAACGATCCGCCTTAGATATTTCTGAAACCATAAGGAAATTGAAAATTTTTGAATACCTCCCCAAAAATTTTAAATGGAATGACCCATCGCGTGGTATCTCAAATGAAAGCTTATCTTATAAGGATTATCGTGATGTTCACATAAATGAATCTGTTTTCGGAAATTTTCAATTTCCTTTTAGTTTCTGAAATATCTCAGGCGGATCGTTTTCAAAAAATCACCCTGTATACTAACATCTAGAAAACGACACAGGTTCATCTATTTTTTCTATAGTAGAATTTCTTGGTGTATCTAAGTGTCGTATCTAAGTCGGTTCTTAGACGTATGATGTAAATCGGACTTGAAATCATGTAACGTGATTGGCGCTTAGCTTTATCCTTTAAAATAAATGGTATTTTAGGTCTTTCGGTATTCAGCATTTTTTTCAAGATAAGTTACACCTTTACCTACCAGACAGCATAAAAATTTCTAAAAATGATAGAATGTCGTTTAGTCAAGTGATGTATAATGCGGTCCAATTTTAATCACAAATACTAAAGTAAAAATAATTTTATATAAAATAAAATATATATAATATGCATAATAAAATAGTTTTAAGGAATTAACTTTTTTGAACACCCTATACAATATTGATCGAGTGGTTGCATATTTTTAGGTGATATTTTTTTAAAAATAGGCAACTTCTTTGACACATTATTTAAATAAGTTGCCTATACTTAAGAATAAATTAATAAGTATTGAAATCATCTAAAAAGTGTTGATTAAACTCAAATAATTTTTTTTATTTAAACATTATAGTGTAAATAAAAATAGAATAGAATAAAATAGAAGGTTGTTGCGAAATATTTGTTTGTTAAAGACTACGTGGGAACACATTGAAAACGTGCGCTTCGTTATTTATGATCCCTTTCGATTCAAAACGCTTTATCGGGTAATGTTTAAACCCAATACGAATTTAACGTAACAAAATTTAATATGATGTTTTATGTTTTCGTATAATACTCGTTCTGCTCTACTTTCATAGTAAAACTCAAATATGTAACGTCCAGTTTTAGAAAGTTGGATTCTAAGAAAGAAAAAATTCCATTCCCCACAAGTTTAAAACTAGAAATTAGCGAAACTAACCCGAAAATTGTATTACTCGAATTCTTCATCATATTAAGTGTACTTAATTTTTTCACACTCGCACTAAATGGACCATTGTTTCTTTTTTTAGAGATTTTTTCGGTGGCACGCTTTTTGGTTGGGCAATTTCGTTTACAACACACGCACGCGTCTTGTGGTGTAAATTCAAAAACAATGGTCCGTAGATAAATTCAAGTACGAAATTATTTTTTTTTTAATCGAGTTTTAAAAGAAAAAGGATATGGTGAAGGTATCTCTTGGTGTATGTGTGTGTGTTGGCGTTGTACAGATTTATTTTTGCGCATTAGAAAGTTCAAGGATATTTCTTTATACATCCGTCGATGCCATTCTTAATTGTAATTTTAGGTCAATTTAATTAAATTAAAAAAAAAAACTTGTTCAAAAAATAATTAACGTTTTTTTTATAGAGGTGTCCTAGAATTTATGCCAAATACATACATCCTAATATCACAAATTTAGAAGACAAGTTAGTTAGCAAAAAAACTAGTTGGATAAAATGAAAGAGATTCTATCTCTAAATCTTAACAAAGAAGTGAAACATCTAATTACTAGATTTGTGATTACTGCAGCTAAGAGGCAATGAGATATCGCAGTCGGTGTAATAAGAAAAGAAGATAAAATCCATTCCAAGTTGTTCAAAATCATATAAAACTGTATCTAAGAATGTTCGAAACAAACCTGCAACGTTGCAAAATAGTTCAAAATGATTAAAAATTGGTTGGTAATGTTTGGAAACTTGTCTAAATGATTGCAAAATGATTTATAGCTATTCCAAGTTGTTCAAAACCATATGAAACAGCATCAAATGTCGTTCAAAATAAGTCTATAACGTTGCAAAATTTTTAGAAGTGATTGAAAATTGGTTGGTAATGTTTGAAAACTTGTTTTATCAAAATGCCAAAATCTTTGCACTGCAACTTTATGATATTACACTGGGAGAGGATACAAAGACAAGATTGATGATGGAGAATCCTCAAGTCGAGAAGACAAAATCTGCTAATCGTGTGAAAAAAAATCATACAAAATGGACTAGCAAATAAGACCATGCTCCGAGAGCTGGCAACTGCGCAAATTTTAAGTTTATGCTAAAAAAGTTTCTGCAGAATTTACAAATATGCACTACAGAATGTTCTCCTTGTCTAGTGTCATTATCGTACAGTATAAAAACAAAGATGTACTAAGATGGTTGTTAGCACGCTTTGGATTTAAATTCCAAACAGCCACAGCATGATAACTCATCATTCTAGATAATTATATCATTATTATTTACATCTAACGATTGAATAGCTTAATTGCAAAAGAGGTGAGACATTGAAGAATGAGAGAAGAATTATGAGATTTAGAACTGATCTCATAAGCATGCTTATAAAAAAAGAACACTTACCAGTATTACACGTAGACACCAGCAAAATCTCACCGTCTGCAAAATTAAAAAGGAATGAATGAAGGTGGGATGGGATAAGAGATAACATTATCATTACTCTTGCCAAAAGATAGCAATGATTTGCCATTTGTACACCCATAGTTTACAACACACAGTTTATAGTTATGACCTGTAGTCTCTGCTATGATATACTTTGTAGTCCGCTCCTGCACTTTGCAGTAAGTATCTTGCAGCTATAACTGCAGTAGTCTTCACAAAATGATTTATAGCTATTCCAAGTTATTCAAAACAATAAAAAACAGTATCTAATGTCGTTGAAAACAAACTTATAACGTTGAAAAGTTGTTCAAAATGATTAAAAATTGGTTAATAATGTTTGGAAACTTGTCTAAATGATTGCAAAATGATTTATAGCCATTACAAGTTGTTCAAAACCATATAAAACAGCATCTAATGTAGTTAAAAACAAACCTACAACGTTGCAAAATTTATTAAAATGATTGAAAATTGCTTGGAAACTTGTCTAAATGTTTGCAAAATAATGTATAACTCTGCCAGGTTGTCCAAAATAATTACAAACTTGTTGGTGATCATTGAAACATTATATAAATGCTTAAAATCTGGGTCAAAACTATAAAGCTATTCAAAATGACTAAAAATTGGTAAGTAATCATTGAAAGCATGTCTAAATTATTGAAAACTAGCTGGTTATCACTAAAAACTTGTGTATTTCATTGGGCTCTGATTCCAACCCAACCCATGATTATAAAAAAAAGAACACTTACCAGTGTTACACGTAGACACCAGCAAAATGCAATTCTTGAAGGGCAAAGAATAGAAATTTCCGAGAAATCCACCATCTGTAAAATTAAGAAGAAATGAATGAAGGTGGGATGGGGTAAGAGATGGCATTATCATTACTCTTGGGGGCAATTGCGATTTTTATACAGTGCTCTAAATGTGCACAAATTTAACCAAGTGTGGGTAAAATGGCAAACTATGATTTACCATCTGTACACCCATAGTTTACAATACACACTTCATAGTTATGACACAGAATAACCAGAAGTGACACTGACGTCGATTATTTGATGTTGGCGGAGTCTCGTTTTATGACCTCGATTAAAATCCGCCATCACATCGCGAGGATCCATAAGCCCGATGAACGCACAATAAATAAGAGAGACAACTTAAACAGAAACAACTTAATTTACCACCAATAACAGCAAAAACTTGCTTCCTCGTAACAATATGGCGCAAGATTTGGCGCCAGTGTCACTTCTGGTTATGACCTGTAGTCTTCAGTCCGCAGTAATGTTAATAAATTTACAGTTATGATTTAAAATATGCTATGACATACTTTGTAGTCCGCTCCTGCACTTTGCATTAAGTAGCTTGCAGGTATAACTGCAATAGTCTTTACAAAATAATTTATAGCTATTCCTAGTTATTTAAAACAATAAAAAAACAGCATCTAACATTGTTCAAAATAACCTATAACGTTGCAAAATTGTTCAAAATGATTAAAAATTGGTTAGTAATGTTTGCAAACTTGTCTAAATGAGTGCAAAATGATTTATAGCTATTCCAAGTTGTTCAAAATCATATAAAACAGCATCCAATGTCGGTAAAAACAAACCCACAACGTTGCAAAATTTATTAAAATGATTAAATCTTATCTAAATGACATTGACACATTGTCTAAATGCTTAAAATCTGGTTCATAGCTATAAAAATAATTCAAAATGATTAAAAATTGATAAGTAATCATTGAAAGCTTGCCTAAATTATTAAAAACTAGCTGGTTATTATTGAAAAGTTGTGTATATTATTGGGCTCTGGTTCCTAGCTATGCCACGTTGTTCAAAATGATTAAATTATCAAATTAAGGTTAAATTTGTTAAAAAATATAACATTTTTATTCAGTAAAATACTTACTACACTACCATTGATGCCATACTTTTCTTTCAGTATGTTCAGGAAGACAGCGAAACTAAAAACGCCGCTTCCGGTCCGAAATTCTTCTCTTTAAAGTTGGTGAAAGTGCCTTAGAAACACATATACTGTAAAGAAGAAGACAATACATTAAAAAAGAACTCCTGCACTTTGCAGTAAGTAGCTTGCAGCTATAACTGCAGTAGTCTTTACAAAATGATCTATAGCTATTCAAAGTTATTCAAAATAATAAAAAAACAGCATCTAATGTCGTTCAAAATAAACCTGTAACGTTGCAAAATTGTTCAAAATGATTAAAAATTTGTTGGTAATGTTTGGAAACTTGTCTAAATGATTGCAAAATGATTTATTGCCATTCCAAGTTGTTCAAAACCATATAAAACAGCATCTAATGTAGTTGAAAACAAACCTACAACGTTGCAAAATTTATTAAAATGATTCAAAACTTGTCTAAATGTTTGCAAAATGATATATAACTCTGCCAGGTTGTTCAAAATAATTACAAACTTGTTGGTTATCATTAACACATTGTCTAAATACTTAAAATCTGGTTTATAGCTATAAAAATTATTCAAAATGATTAAAAATTGGTAAGTAATCATTGAAAGCTTGTCTAAATTATTAAAAACTAACTGGTTATCACTAAAAACGTGTGTATATCATTAGACTCTGGTTCCTAGCTATGCCAAGTTGTTCAATATGATTAAATTATCAAATTAAGTTTAAATTTGTTAAAAAATATAACATTTTTATTCAATAAAATACTTGCTATTTAAATTACGCTACCATTGATGCCATACTTTTCTCTGAATATTTTCCGGAAGACATCGAAATTAAAAACGCCGCTTCCGGCCCGAAATTCTTCTCTTTAAAGTTGGTTAAAGTGCCTCAGTAACTCATACACTGTAAAGAAGAAGACAATACATTAAAAAAGAACTCATGTACTTTGCAGTAAGTAGCTTGCAGCTATAACTGCAGTAGTCTTTACAAAATGATTTATAGCTATTCCAAGTTATTCAAAACAATAAAAAACAGCATCTAATGTCGTTCAAAATAAACCTATAACGTTGCAAAATTGTTCAAAATGATTAAAAATTGATGGGTAATGTTTGGAAACTTGTCTAAATGATTTATAGCCATTCCAAGTTGTACAAAACCATATAAAACAGCATCTAATGTAGTTAAAAACAAACCTACAACGTTGCAAAATTTATTAAAATGAATCAAACTTGTCTAAATGTTTGCAAAATGATGTATAACTCTACCAAGTTGTTCAAAATAATTACAAACTTTTTGGTAATTATTGACACATTGTCTAAATGCTTAAAATCTGATTTATAGCTATAAAAATTATTCAAAATGATCAAAAATTGGTAAGTAATCATTGAAAGCTTGACTGGATTATTAAAAACTAGCTGGTTATTACTGAAAACTTGTGTATATCATTGTGTTCTGGTTCCTAGCTATGCCAAGTTGTTCAAAATGATTAAATTATCAAATTAAGTTTAAATTTGTTAAAAAATATAACATTTTTATTCAATAAAATACTTGCTATTTAAATTACGCTACCATTGATGCCATACTTTTCTCTGAATATTTTCCGAAAGACACCGAAATTAAAAATGCCGCTTCCGGCCCGAAATTCTTCTCTTTAAAGTTGGTGAAAGTGCCTCAGTAACACATACACTGTAAAGAGGAAGACAATACATTAAAAAAGAACTCCTGCACTTTGTAGTAAGTAGCTTGCAGCTATAACTGCAGTAGTCTTTACAAAATGATCTATAGCTATTCAAAGTTATTCAAAATAATAAAAAAAACAGCATCTAATGTCGTTCAAAACAAACCTATAACGTTGCAAAGTTGTTTAAAATGATTAAAAATTGGTTAATGACGTTTAGAAACTTGTCTAAATGATTACAAAATGATTTATAGCCATTCCAAGTTGTTCAAAACCATATAAAACAGCATCTAATGTAGTTAAAAACAAACCTACAACGTTGCAAAATTTATTAAAATGATTCAAACTTGTCTAAATGTTTGCAAAATGATGTATAACTCCGTCAGGTTGTTCAAAATAATTACAAACGTTTTGGTAATTATTGACACATTGTCTAAATGCTTAAAATCTGGTTTATAGCTAAAAAAATATATTTAAAATGATTAAAAATTGGTAAATGCCGGTCTAATTTATTCAAAACTAGCTGGTTATTACTGAAAACTTGTGTATATCATTGTGCTCTGGTTCCTAGCTATGCCAAGTTGTTCAAAATGATTAAATTATCAAATTAAGTTTAAATTTGTAACATTTTTATTCAATAAAATACTTATTATACACTACCATTGATGTCATACACCGCTTCCGACCCGAAATTCTTCTCTTTAAAGTTGGTGAAAGTGCCTCGGTAACAGATAACACTATAAAGAAGAAGTTAATACATTAAAAACGAATAAATATTTGCTTTATTTTATTTCATATTAAATAAATTTTAGTAAAAATGATTTTAACAAATCTAAAATTTAAAACTCTCCAGATGGTTGTACGTGAATACCAAGTTCGACCTTGCTTGCAGTTTCGAATGAAAGGTGGAGTCGTTCGCTGGGCGTTACGTTATGTTACATAGTTGGTATTCGAATCATTTTCAACAATTTCACTTTCGTCATCTCGCTAACACATTTTGCAGCCTTAATATTCTATTTGATTACTTAAATATATTACTAAATAAATAATATAAAATAAATATAGTATAAAAAAAAATCATTTTTATTATTAAATTCGTATTCTGCATTCAAAATCCTTTAAAATGAGTCCAAACACGACACATTTATCTCAAAAAAATATTTATACGATCATTTTAACATTTATTAAAAAGTGAGGTTATACTTTTTATTTTTAGGTTAACTCGGTTATTTTTTAAGATAAATTAGTCGTGTTTGTATTCATTTTAAAGGATTTTTAATTTTTGATTATAATTTTTAAGTAAAATAATTTTTTTTTAAATTTTACGATTAAAAATGTTATTTTAGAGAAGAGGAAATGAAGAAAAATTAGGTCAAACGTCCGTGAACCAAAATGTCCTTTCTCCAATCATTCTTATAATTGATACCTTGTTGCATTTAATGGTTTCGTATTTAAGTCCACGTTCGATTTAGAAACGCTCCGTTTCGGGTTGCAAAAACAATTCGAAATATGCGAACGTGGTATGGCACTTATCCAAATTATGTGTGCAAATAAGATGCTGATTTCAACTTTAGATTTAGTAATGAAAATAAATAACGAAGTCGTTTCACGGGCGAAAAGATTTCATTTAAATGATTTATGATCGCCGAAAAGAATTCTTATTAATCCATTTCCTAATCTTCTTTTAAAACAATGTGTTACCTTGTTTAATTAAGTTTACGTAAGATTGTATCGCCTCCCACAGCTCAACTCCTAATGAATGAGTTTTTAAGCAACAATTAAACAGGAAATCTACAGAAGATTAAAAAGGAAATACTACTTTAAGAAAAGAAAGTTTTTCTTTAACAAATTAAACAAAAATTAATCTATTTTAGAGTGTGGTTAAACATTTACCGTCTTAGAAATATTACCAACATTACTTCATACCGTTTCAAATCGAAATAATTATTTCACTCCGACACAAATTACGATTTATGATTTCGCGTATGGGAACATTTTTCAATTTTGCAATACAAAATAACTCGCTTAAATAAGTTTATTATTGTGACATTTTAAATTGAAAGGGAACGTCAAAATATACTTTTTAACTAATTTTGTTTTATATTTCAAGGTTGGTACTCCCTAACTTGAAAGAACTAACACCAGAACTAACACTAGACCTAGAACTAGAAACATTTGGGTTTAGCCGCACGTCTCTCAAGACGGCTAAACCCGAATGATTCTAGTTTTAGGTCTTGTGTTAGTTCTAGTGATAGTGTTAAATTAGAACTAACACTAGACCTAGAATTAGAAACATTTGGGTTTAGCCACACGTCTTCTAAGACGGCTAAACCCAAATGATTCTAGTTCTAGGTCTTGTATTAGTTCTAGTGATAGTTCTAGTTTTAATTTAATAAAAATATGCCACAGTGATACCTTATGTTAACTAGCGCTATCTGCTACTGTCACTAGAACTAACATTAAGGTGGGTTTAGACATGCCAGTAAAGGTTTACATTACATGTACGAAAACAAAAATAAGTGACACGCCAGTTCTGCCGATCACTTTGTTTAGCCATAATAAACTATATAAACTACAACTATATGCACAAATTAGGACCTCAACGGAAACGAAAATAGATGTATTCTAGGTTTAATGTGGATAATTAAACGTTATCGTTAAATGTGTTAACGTAATTGGGATTTAATTTGAATGCAATAAAATATAACCTAAATTTGACATTAAAAAAATATGTGTTCTTGTGGATACTCATCTATGTTGTCAAGGTTACATGTTTTTAGACTCATCACTGGCGCCAGTGATTTCAGAAGGGTGCAGACTTTTCTGATCCATGCATGCATAATTTCAACTTGCATGACGGTTGATTCAGACATGTTGCATTTTATGTGGGACAAAGTAGGTAAGTACGTCCTGGTTTCTATGGAAATATATTTTAGCCAACATTGAGGTGGACATGTCATTGTATGTAAGAAAATTGTAAATTTAAACAAAATGATATTTAATGTCAAATTTGACGTTTTGGGTAATTTGATAAACGTTAAATTTTAATTCTTTTATTTTCTAAATTCCAAATGACGTTTAAATGTCAAATCATCATTGGCTACGTTCATTTATAATTTTCTTACAGTATGACATTCTAAATAACATTAATTGTTGCTATACTCTGTTTTTAAACCAGGAGGAGTAAACGCGAAAGTCAGATTTACACTAGGAAAAATCACCAGAAAATATCACTAGATATTTTGGAGGTAAATTTAAATTAATAATTATTATTATTTATTTATTTACTTATTATTGTATTTATTTTCGTTTGTTATCGTCAACACTAAACATACAAATTAACATTGAAGTTATGAGTGTATTTATTTCAAAATATAATAAAGAAGGGTTTAAGAACACAAAATTTACAATAATGACACGAAACTGTCGAATTGTCAATAACCTAACCTTCAAATTCAAAATTGCCTGTGTGTGAACCTTCCTCGCATTCAACCAATCACGTGCAAGGTCAATCTGGTGACAAATTTAAAATACTCCTCCTGGTTTAAAAACAGTATAGAAACATTCAGACATGTTGCATTTTATATGGGACAAAGTAAAGTCCCTAGATTTACAAAATACCGCGGTTTGCCGCCATTTTGGCTCGAAAGTCAAGCGGAAAATTTAAAACTATGTTGTTTTGTTGATAAAATTACGCCAAGTTTCCTTTCTTTTTTTTCTCGTGGTACTCTGAAGAGTCGAAAGCCCTTCTTACTGCTATTTTTACAACTCTAAATGCAACTCGACGGCATTATTTTTGTAAATAAGTGGAAACATGCACTGACAAGCTGTCAAACCGCCATTTTGTCTCGAATATTTCGAATATACAGACTTCATGAACCGCGGTACTTTGATAATCTAGGGACTTTAGCACAAAGCAAGTAAGTACGCCCTTTTTAATGTCAAATTTGACGTTTTGGGTAATTTGATAAACGTAAAATTTTAATTAATTTATTTTCTAAATTCAAAATGACGTTTAAATGTCAAATCATCTTTGGCTACGTTCAGTTACAATTTTCTTACAGTATGACATTCTAAATAACATTAATTGTTGCTACTAATTGACGTTCTAACTGTCAAATTTGATCATTTTGCATCAAAAGTAGATTTTAATAACAACCTGAAATCTCGTCGCAATAAAAGAACATCGTTCCGTTGATGTTATTAGTAGTGTAAAGTTAAATTAATAACAATACGATAAATCGCTACAAATAATAATAATAAAAACCAATTCCTCTCCAACCATATTAACGTTAAACCTTCTGATGATGGCCTAATAAGCCGAAACACGTAAAGGAAATATTTTAATTGATACATCGATTAACAGTAAAATAGAAAGTAATATTTATTCAATTTACCTTAAATAATATCGATGAAAATGGATTTTATATAATAATTTTAACAAAAGTGACATTTGAATGACATCTTAAACATTAACTTTACAATTTTGTTATTCTAATTGACATGTCAACCTCAATTCTTGCTACCAATTGACGTTCTAACTGTCAAATTTGATTATTTTACATCACAGAGCTTTTAATGTCAAAAGTAACATTTAAATGATAATTTAAAGGCAAGATTGACAAGTTGACATTCTAAATGATATATTTACCTTATTTTCTGCTACCAATTGACATTGTAACTGTCAAATTTGAGCATGTACCATCACAAGTAGATTTTAATGTCAAATGTCACATTTGAATGATATCTTAATGATTAAATTTACAGTTTGACATTCTAATTGACATGGCAACTTCAATTTTTGCTACCAATTGACGTTTTAACTGTCAAATTTGATCATTTTGCATCACAAGTAGATTTTAATGAAAAAAATTACATTTAAATGACATCTTAAAAATTAAATTTACAATTTTCTTACAATTTGGAATTCCAAATGACATGTCAACCTCAATCTTTGCCACCAATTGAAGTTCTAACTGTCAAATTTGATTATTTTGCCTCACACGAAGATTTTAATGTCAAAAGTAACATCTAAATGATAATTAATTAAAGACAAGATTGACAATTTGACATTTTAAATAACATATTTACCTTATTTTCTGCTACCAATTGACAGTGTAACTGTCAAATTTGAGCATGTACCATCACAAATAGATTTTAATGTCAAAAGTCATGTTTGAATGACATCTTAATGATTAAATTTACAGTTTGACATTCTAATTGACATGTCAACCTCAATTTTTGCTATCACAAGTAAATTTTAATGTCAAAAATGACATTTAAATGACATCTTAAAGAATAAATTTACAATTTTGTTATAGTTTGACATTTTAAATGACATCTACACCTTATTTCCTACTGCCAATTAACATTCTAACTGTCAAATTAGTAAAAAGTGACATTTGAATGATGTTTAAAGATAAAATTTCCAATATTTTGTCAGTTTCTAGTTCTAGGTGTAGTGTTAGTTCTAGTTTTAATTCAATAAAAATATGCAACATAGTGATATCTTATGTTAATTAGCGCTACTTACCACTGTCACTAGAACTAACATTAGAACTAGAAACATTTAGACATGTTGCATTTTATGTGGGACAAAGTAAGTACGTCCTGGTTTTTATGGTATTAAAATTTTGTATATTGCATTTTAAGTGAAATTCACTGTATAATGTAATGTAATCTCTCCTAACTTCATGTTATTGCATTTTGAGAACTGTCAAAAGTCAAAGTATTTAAGTGTCAATCAAAACAGGTAAATTTCTGCGTAAATGTATTAATATTACATAAATAAAAATTGTAATAAATTTTAATTGCAGCCGTTATACAAGATAATTAAAAATTCCAATCATCGCCGAGCGATGACATTCTTTAAATTGGCACGATTATCTCTTGTATAACACGTAACTGGGTATCCGTTAGCCAACTGACAACACCTCAGCCATCACGTTGGAACTAATTATATTGTGGCAATAACGCCTCTTCGCGATGACTAAAAAGACGATGGAATGGTCGCACTTGAATGAACAATAAAAGCGTTGTATTTTCGCAACTCGACCGGATTCTTTGGCATAACCGGACTTTGAACGGAACTTCATTTTCTTTATAATAAAGACAAGGATATCTTAAGAACGAACTTATATTAAAAAAAAATTAATTGAAAGGTATTAACCAAAAATAAATTTACAACGCAAGGGAAAAATAAATATCGCTTTCAAATCGTACAAATGCTCGTATTATGTTTAAACTCTGGATCGCTCCTATTTCAACCATTACCTAACCTCGGTAACGTAATCCTCGAGACCGCTAATAAAAATTAAAACGACGAGAGAGGATAAAATGTGCCAATCTCTTTTTATTATAAACCCAAATAAACGGTAAAAAGATTCAAAATTGATTTTAACCTGAATTTATTCCCACGAAGTTGTAATTATTATTACAATTTATTTTACGTTTCTTAAGATTTACAAGAAACGATTACTTATTGTTAGTAATCCTAGAATAGACAATAACCTTCAATAAAAAAAACTTTTCCGTCAACAAGTTAAAATAAATTTTGAATTGCTTAACCTTACGGCTTCTTTGAAGCTTTACGTTTTCTTATTAACCTAAGGGTTTAAAACGACTAAATTAAAGCGAAAACCAGTTCAAGGATTTCAATCAAATCTTATTTTATCTTGGAAGATATCACGATTTCAAATTGGATTTAATTATATCTTGGGTTTAATAAAACCAGAGATATAATCATTATCATAAAGTGTATTATTATTAAATATTTTTAATTCGATTCCTAATAAAACAAACACTAGAGACAGAAGTAACGCTAAATATAATTTAACAACTAAAACTAGAACTAACACTAAACCTAGAAACATTCGGGTTTATTTGGTTTCTCTCTAGTTCTACGTTTAGTTTAATAAAAATATAGAAGAACCTAGCGCTGAATAACAATTAAAACTAGAACTAACACTAACGAACTAACATT